CTCTTAAGCGGTGAGATCGATTAATCTCATAACCGCTTCACGTTTCGCTTTATTTCAGCTACGATTGAACTCCATTATCCGAGTCTAAAGACAGGTAAGGTATTCTTCCATCGTTAATAACCTCATCTCTCACAAAGTTTTATCGACAGGCTATCATCTTCTATCGCTCTGTGATATCTGCCTTTCGCATCTCATCGTTTCTATGATTATTTCTGATTTTTACAACTATCTCTCCTTTTATGCAACTCCGATCGCTCCTAGAGCAACAAAAGCGCACCAACATATGCAACCTCATTTTCATGAACAATTTTTCATTTATGTTAAAATTATATTAAATTTGAGGATTTCACAATCGCTGCAAAGTTTTATGCCTCAAGAAAAAGCCAAATGAAGTTATTTTTTCTGAAAAACTCGAAATAAAAATGAAGCGGATTTTAAAAGCAGCCACCTCCAATGTGGCTGCATTTATGTGGAATTTTTTTAGAAGCTGAACCGTTTTTTTAGAGTAACGTTTTGATCCCAAAGCGATCATCATTTGCGATGTTGTATCAGTAAATACAAAAAGAAAACACGGTACAAGTAAATTCAAATCGAAGAATTGGCAAAAATTGGCCAAAAAATCAATGGTTCTAAAAAGATTCTATCTATTATCATGAACACTATAATGATGCTGTTTCTTTTGAGAGTTTGTGTCATTTAAATACGCTGCTCAGACAGAAAAGGTTTGAGAAGGCGAAAGGAGGCGAGGCTTTATGAACCAGGAAATAATGAAATTCTTCTTCGGATTCAAACCGTTTCTTTTGTGGCAATCGAGATTTCTAGAAATGTTTTGAGTTTTTTTTTTGTAGACAACTCCATTTCTGATGTAAATGCACAGATGAAATCTTTTTTTCTCATAAAGCTTTCTTATTCGATCATTCCGCATTTTCAAAACAATCATTTTTGTCCTGTATTTTAACGACTCAAAAATTATGGTGTTATATTCTGCGCAAATAGGGTTCGTGAGTCAGACACCTTAGCATAACATCAAATTGATGGACATGGGTTATTAGTCTGGATAAAACAGTTCGCAAGATTACTAATCACTGTCTACCACTGTCTTACCTGCGATTCTGTCATCTGGATCTTAAGTTCTTGATGTTTCTTGACACATAAAATTCACAGCTGTTGCAAATTCCATGAATCAGGAAAGAACGAGTAACTTTTTTTTCACTTTCAATGTGGTTGCAATGTAAAACTTTCTTTTAGATTACTGAGCGTTTTATTCTGAAAAGTTAATTTCACAAATCTTTTTTAGACGTAAAACTGAGTTATGCTTGAATGTATTCTCTCTAAATACCTGTAAATACCCAAAGATAATGGCGCTAATGTTAGATGGATCGTAGGGGCAATCAGTGAGGAGAGCAGGGCCCCGGTTGAAAACAGTCAAGATGTTCTACATAGCTGGGAGAAGATTGGCGAGTTTGTGACGGCCACTTCAGTCAGAAAATTTCTGAATGTGAGAATTTGAGGGTATCGGAGGATCTTCGCAAAATGTGTGGATGAGCGACTTCGGCAGCTCGAGTTTATCGGAAGGCGATCATGCTGAAGTGTTGGCTCGAAACCTCACGCCAACGCTAAGGGCTTGCGCTGCATTTTCCGTTGCAGGAGAGTTCAAAGAAAAAGAGGGAAGAGACAGGTCCCAACATAACCAGCATTATCAAACTGTAGACATGACGCGGTATCTTGGCGTACGCAGCGCATCACGTCAATTTTGGCCTGATTTGGGAGACAGACTGTAAAGGTCCAAGTTCGCATTTTCTCAACAGCACCTTTGAAGCATGATTTGTAAGCGGTAAGTAAGATCTGAAGTATGTGAGAATGCGAGAAAAAATTGGTAGCTTGGGAAGTTTCATAAAGAAGACTTTTGAGTGAGAAGAAATTGGGAGATGCAGTTTGCCCAAAGAACTCAGGGAGGACAGCAAAGCGCAAGTTCGTAAACCGCAAGAGCATACGTAGAAAATCTGTTGGCACTTTGTTAATAGAACCTTACAGGAAAAATTTCTGACACTTGACTTTGACAATCTCTGGGTTCGTTAATGTGTGAAAAATCCGTGCCATACTTTTGGTATGCACTTATGATTCATCAACTGCCACGAATTCGAACATTGTCTTAACCTATCCTTCGCTTTAGGTTTCGAATAATCTGCATTTTGTAATGTATGAAGCTCAAGGTGCTCTGGATAATAGAAAGGGTGAGGTACTATGGCACAGATTGAAGAAGCCGGTAGAGGGTACGCAGGCATTTATTGACACCTTTGTTAGAAAAAACCTGTTGCACCAGAAGGAGCTCTGATTGCAGTACGATAACATGGGTGTAGGGCTGTTCAATGGGCTAAAGAGCGTATGGGCTAGCATATAGCTTTGGCTAGAAAGTTTGGAGAATTTTAAGAGAGGTAAGGAAGTAAGTGAATTCTTCTTTGACAAATCATGTGTGAGATCTTAAATGAAGTATTTTTCCGAAGGGAAGGAGGCCAGAACGCAATGATTTTTTACTTCTACATTTCAGGAAAGGAAAACATGTGATCTGATCAAAATTCGAAATGGTTAGGGAGTTCTGAAGTTAGATTTCATACTAGGAGAACGGATACAACACTAATTGAACCTTTTGTTTCAAAAAGATTCAAATAGAAAAATTTTGAGGGCTTAAATAGAAATGGAAAATAAATAGCAGGGCACCCGTTTACCATTCTGAAGGAAAGGAACTAAAAGTTACTTAGTAAGTAACAAAATCTTTTGTTGGAAAATCTGTCGGTTCATTTGAATTTAGAAGTTGGAAAACAACTCTGTCATTTTGCTGAAAACGGATGAATTCTGTCCTACTGCTTCACACATTTTCCGATTCAAATAATTCTATTAGGTTGTCGGATAATTTCTGTTACAATTTTTATTTTAATTCTTAAAAATCTCAGAAGCTTTGGAAACATCTCATGTTCACGGTGTATGGACAGGGTCAAAAGGCCTATTCAACGGTACCGTCGCATCCGCGATCCATGCGCAAAACACCCACTTTGTGGCTGAAATTCCGCTTCTTCCCATTTTTGTAAATGAGCTGGCGTTCTCTCATGTGATGAGCGATAGACCGGACAATGTGGTAATCAGGTAGGGCATAGTTTGTAGCGTTTAGCTTATAAGGGGGGGGGATAACACAAACATGTCTGCACACGTTTTTCTGAGCGGTTCAAATATCAACGTGCGCCATCTTTGCAATCATCGGAATTTTTACGAAGAAAACATCTTCAAAAAATTTCAAAAAATCATTTTTATGTTTTCTGTATTTATTTCTATACGATGCACATAAAAAGAGAATTTAGGAAAGTTTTTGAATTTTTTTGATATTTTTTTCACCCCTCGTTTTTGAAACGCTAAAAGCACCGGAATGCCCCCATGTAAGAGCCAATGCCAAAATACTTTCTAAAAAAATTCTGGAGAGGAAAAACGGAAGTAGGCGCAGAGAAAAAGATCAGACAAAAACTGAAAAATTTGACTGCTTTTACAAAACTGCCGTAAATTTGTTGGTCATTAGTGCACTTGCGGCATCAGTCATGCTGGTGGGTTGACCCTGCTATGTTCTAAGCGTGTTGCAGATTTGGGGTTTTCAGAAAGTTTCTGGAATTTCCTAGATTAGGAAAAAGTGTAACAGAAATTATCCGACAACCTAATATATAATTTATTACGTCTTTAGAATTAAAGCTATGTGGGAGTGCTTTAGGCTAGAAAAGACACGCTGCAAAACCCTGATGGCTTTGAGTTTCAAGCACATCCTACTCCACACACACACCCAGTTGTTTGAGCCCTCAAGAGCTTTGCATGCATTATGCTGAGTTGTAAAATTCGCAAAGCTCGCACGGCTTTACTATAGAAGCCACTACTTTTTTTCTTCGCATTGCTGGCTTATAAGGAGCGTGACGTTCCTAAATAAGCAAAACTTGTATCGATAATCTTCTTGTGAATGTCAGTGAAAGAACGTGTATGTATCCCACTTTTAACAATTCACATAAGACAATGAAGAAGCCATCAACAGGCTTTAATCGTATACGCAATCGTTATGAAATCGGTGATAAGACGATATTAATGCAAATGAGAAAGTGGAAGGAATGGTTTTTCGAAGCGATTGATTCTAATGTATAGATAAGTCAGATTTTTGTGTTGAAATGGACAAGCAACACTAGAAGAATCAAATTGGAAAACTGTTCATATACGTCACATATCAAAAGAAACCTTACGGCTGAAGCTGCTGTCTTGGAAAGTGGCAATAAAAGTAAAGCTATTTTTTTGCTCATGTAGCTCATCCTCACTTTAAAATCCTACCAAGAATAACAATCAACATGTTTAGAGATCGAGAACAACATTCTAAGAGATTCGGAAGAAAATGTTGTTGATTTCGCATAAAGTGCTGAAAAACTATAAATCGTATACTGAAGTCACAGCAAAATGTGATAGACTACGGCGGACTTTAGTCTTTCGAGTAAGTCCACCCCCCCCCCCCCTTCCCTCCTACTCTCACTACGGTCTTTTTTCTCTTCCTCTATATGAGTCTTTCTTTGCATAAAAGAAACGATCGGGTGTGATTTGTTGTGGTAACGTTTTTTATTTGTTATTAGCAGACAGTTCTCCGTAGTCTGATTCGGATGCATTTGAATGCAACTATATTTAGATTCCCAATGTAGCATCCGAGAAATTCAAATGAGAGATTTCAAGAATTTGGATAAATTCGCCTTGCAACTTCATTAATAAGCCGCACTGCATAATCGCAAGTTAGCCTCGCACTCTCTCCAATCAATGCAAAAATTTGCATGTTATGCTTCAGTCTTCAACATCGTGATCATGTGCAAGTACGTGAGATGTTTGAGAGGACCAAATGGTAGTTTCCGTTGGCGCATACGATTTCGATAATCGTATGCGCCAACGGTCTCCATGATATATAATGCCATGATTAGGCTTCCTCTTCACTCTAACACTCTCATTCTATCACCAACATGAAGGCTATCTTCGTCTTGCTTGCCCTAGTAATCAGCGGTAAGATAATCTAGCAAAGGTTAAAAAGACTAAACCTAACAACGTGTCTAAAATAGAGACTTTAGTTTGCTTCGCGCGGAAGTGTACAACAACTACCGACTGCGGCTCAGCCATGATGACCTGTGTTGATGGGAACTGTTTTAGAATAGGTATCGAGCAGCATGTGCTATATAACCAAAAGGCAGCAAATTTTTTTACGATTCTGAGCTAATAGCCAGTTGGTTCCAAATACTCTACAAACATGCCGCTTACCTATCTAACCTAGGTGCTCTTAGAACAAAGTTCACTTTAGTCTTCAGTGTTTAGAACAAATGCATCTTTATACTTAGTTGAACTTCTTCTATTATTCAGGGCGAAAAAATTCGATAGGCAAAAATTGAAAAATTAATAAATCAATAGGGGCAACCGTATCGGGTAACTGGTAACCATCCGGGAAACTATGTGCCGCAGAAGAAGGCGCATTAAGCTCTTCCCCATACATTAGGTCTGCCAAACTTGGTTCAGATTCCTTGGCTCCTTTTATTCTTTTTGGGCGAACGTACAAAATTCTCCAGGTAAAAACTGCAAAAAATCAATTAATCGATAGAGTCAAGAGTGGTTTCGATCAAAATGGCTTACTAACATACGCCTAACCTCATACATTATGTCTGCCAAATTTGGTCCCTATCTCATGGCTTCTTCTATCTATTTGAGCAAACATACAAAAAGTTGCTAAGCCAAATATACATATAATACCAGTGCGTCACCTCTGCTTCGCAGAGGCTCGCACTGGCTCTACTATCTATATGCCTTCCTCGTAGTTCCAAAATGATGGCTTTGAAACTTACCTCGCGATGCCGATCATCACGAATGAAATACAAACAACTACTCATTCTAAAAGCTTCTTCATGTCAGATCGGTGACTTTGAGGAAAGGAAAGTATTGTCCCAAAGATCAAAAGCGATTTTGAATTAGTTACTGGGGTTATAATGGCTTGATAGTCGCCATAAAGATGATGACAACCGTGAGTTACATTTCTGCGCAAAAATTTTCTCACATTCCCAAGTAAAACCTTGACAAATCGATCATCTACGCAATTATTCCTTTTTGGCGCCAATCTTGCGTAAAGTAAACTTTTTGTCACTTTTCGGGCTGGAGTCCATGGATTGCGGAATCACTTGCTAAGCGAAACCGTGACTTTGGAAAAAGTCAAATTACAGGCCCACTTCGACGCGCGAAATGTCGCATGGATCCGTTTGGCGCACAATTTCACAGGTTCCAATTATCGGATCGGCTTGTGATTTTGTATTAGGTTGAACCGAAAGTTCTTTCCCCCCATTTTCAAAAATTCATAACTTCCGATTTTTTCAACCAATTTGGCCGCTTTTATTTTTGTATGAAAGAGTAACTCATGCTCTTCATAATGACGTCTTAGCTGCTTGCTAATGATCATCTGTTGCATAGATAGGAGCGATAGAAGAAAATTAGTCGAAATTTGAATTTTCTGTGTAGGGTCATAAAAAATCGGAAACTTGCAATAAAAATCGGAGCAGTCAGTATTGTAGGTTCTTTTACCAGCTCTTTCTAATGGTGCAAAGTTTGCACCGATTGAGCGTCTCTGTCGAAAGTTATGATTTTCGAGCAAGCAATACAAAAGGGCGAATTTGATTTATTTTGGCATTTTTCAGAGAAATCATAACTTTTGATAGAGACGCTCAATCGACGCAAACTTTGCACCATTAGAAAGAGCTGGTAAAAGAACCTACAATACTGACTGCTCCGATTTTTATTGCAAGTTTCCGATTTTTTATGACCCTACACAGAAAATTCAAATTTTGACTAATTTTCTTCTATCGCTCCTATCTATGCAACAGATGATCATTAGCAAGGAGCTAAGACGTCATTATGAAGAGCATGAGTTACTCTTTCATACAAAAATAAAAGCGGCCAAATTGGTTGAAAAAATCGGAAGTTATGAATTTTTGAAAATGGGGGGAAAGAACTTTCGGTTCAACCTAATATATTTCACCTAAATGCTGATAGGGTGCTACAACCAAAATTCTAGCTCAAGAACTTTGCTGGAACTCGCTCTACGAATTTCGTGACAGACAGAGATTCACACACACACACAGACAAACGTAAACAACCCTTAGCCCGTTATTATAAGTTATGATTGATTGTTAAAGGCAGTGTCCCACCAAAATTGGAATGGTGCGGATGATCTCCACATATTTTGGACTCCCTGACTAGGCAACCAGTCTGTTTTTATTTCATACATTAGGTTGGCTCAAAAGTTCTGGGACACTTTCGAACTAGATCTGCTATTTCTCTAAACCTAAGGCATATGCACCAGGTAGAGGTACCATTCGATAGAGCAAAGCAAGCTCTACAGGATGGTATGCAAAAGTTCGCATTAGCTTCGACCCACCGTAAGTTTGCAACCAAAATCTGAGTTGTACTGAAATTCATAAAATCGCGAAAAATTCATATCTTTGTTCAAACAAATCCTATCTCCAACTTGCTCACAAAAGTTGCACACCACATTAGACACTCATATGCATCGTTCCTGTATCTTTACCTCATCTGGAAATCGAGAAAATGAAAATTTTCATGCTTGTATAAAAACTAGGCTGTGCTTTCCACCCATGTAATTGAATAGTACAAGCCCTTAGAAGTATAACCTTGAATTTTCAGCTTTCTACAGGCCTTATTTTCCGGAATTTTCCGAATTGAGCTGTCCTCACTCGGGCGTTCCATGCTTTTTTTTCACAACTAGGGCTTACGGAAGGCTGAAAATTTACGGTTATACTTCTAAGGGCTTGTACTATTCAATTACATTTGTGGAAACAGCACGGCTTCGTTTTTATATATGCATGAAAGTTTTCGTTTTCTCGATTTTCAGAAGAGGAAAAATTACAGGAGTGGTGCATATGAGTGTCTGATGTGGTGTGCAATTTTTGTAAGCAAGTTGGAGATCCCGATTTGTTTGAACAAATATATGAATTTTTCGCGATTTTTTTGAATTTCAGTACAACTCAGATTTTGGTTGCAAACTTACGGTGGGTCGAAGCTGGTGCGAACTTTTGCATACCATCCTGTAGAGCTTGCTTTGCTCTATCGAAAGGTACCTCTATCTGATGTATATGCGTTAGGTTTCGAAAAATAGCAGATCTAGTTCAAAAATGTCCCAGAACCTTCGAGCCAACCTAATAAAAATGTGAGTCCATTCGCATCTTATGTAGGCGTTTCCCATGCGTATAGCGGGCGTGGCCCTGTAGACATTTGAACACGTTAAAAAACGTGTTAAAGCTCCACTCTAAAGCATTAGTTTTTGTACCCTCTAGCTGCCAAAAACTGTCACGCGTATACGTTGGCAAACGTCGGCAAAGCTCCGCCCGCTATATTGTGGGGAAAGGACGATATGTAAAGCTGAATGTCTGTATGACTGCCTGTAAAAAATATTCCTAAAATAAAAAATAATTCTTACGAAGTATTGAAATCAAAATAACAAGTAGTAAACATAAATCTTATGTCTGTCTGTGAGTACGTATGTGCAGAATAGAAATTTTTATTTCTAAACCGATTTGGACCAAACTTGGTACACATATACTTCGGTGCAGAGAGCGTGTCACAGGCTACTTTTCCTTATCGATCGATATCGATTTTTTGCGTAGTATGGCGTACAAAGCTGGGAGTTAGCACAGGGGTGGGGGGGGGAGTAAGTTAGCATGTTGATTACGAATAAATATTAGTCCCTGGAATTATCGATTACTTTTATCGATTTTATCGATTTTTTGCAAATTTCAAGCTGCAGGGCAGGGAGTTGGCACAGGGGGGTAAGTGAGCATGCTGATTGCTACACAGCGGGAATAGGAAATTGACATGCAGAAGTGGGCACAGGGAAAGGTTGTACAGGGATAGGGATGGGAGCTTTGTCATAGTGTTTTGGCAGGGACGGGCGTGGCTGGGTAAGTCAACTAGTTTAGAATAAGGAACATGGTACAGGTAGCCTGCAAATCTTCATAATCCTTTCCTGAAAAAATTCGTACTAGCTTGTAAACAAGCCGCCTATTCCTACTTTTCAATTTACTATTGCGCGAAAGACAAGCCATGAAGTTCAGAAAGACTTAATTGAAGAGCAAAACACATATTGCCGTTGGATCTTTGTGCAATGTTGCAGCATGTCCGAAGTACAGTCCACCTATATTGAAGCCGGGCTGCAAACTAAAGGTCGTTGACAAAGAGGGATGCCCTATATTGAAACAAATTTGCTAGTGAATGTCAAGCAGTCAATAAATCTTTGCAATAAAGCCCTTGGCATTTGAAGAATACAGAAGGACGTTGCGTTGCGATGGGCTAGTAATTGAGCATAACGAGTAAAGTGAAGATATCGAATTGCACGTGGAAATATTAAGTTGGGCGGAAAATAATATCGCATTGTGTTTCATGCAATATCGCGGCAGGGTACGCAGAAAAGTAAGTGAATTGGGAACCAACCGATAGATCAAAGCAAACTCTACAAAATGAAGCTCTAATCTTTGCACCAGGTTTGATTTGCGTGAAATTTGGAGCCAAATTTCATAAGTCGCTCAAGACTTGAAAAAACGAAAAAAAGTAGTATCTCCATTCAGAGAAGTCCTGGAAACCCCCAACTTGCTCACGCATAGGCTCACTATACGAGACACTCGTATGCGCATTTTCGCGGTTTTTCCATGGCTGTAAATTGAGAAAACGAAATTCGGCACATTTTTGCCAAAACAATCTTGAACTTCTCTCACATGGGTGATTCTGTAACATGAACCTTTAGGAGTATAACCGTGAATTTTCAGCTTTAGACAAGCGCTAGTTCTCGAGAAAAATCAAATTGTCTGCAAAAAACCCGAAGAACGCGACATATTCGCACTTTTGACCGTTTTATTTCTCGTACTGTAGCCAAAGAAAAATACTACAAACTATATAGGTGACTGTATAGTGTAGAGAGTACATGGCTGTGCAAATGGGAGATCCATAAGACGTCTATGAACGGAGATACGATTTTTCGGATATCTAAAATTTTTTATATTTCAGATTCGAACTTCAGGTGGAGCAATTTGCGCAGAGGTTTGTAAACTATCTTGTAGAGATTAATCAAATGATACCCCATTCGCTGTTATTTTTGGTCATTCTATCGCGGTAGGATGCCATGCGACATTATTTTCAGGAACCTGATAAAAAAGCTCAAAGTATTGGGTTGGTGCAAAAGTAATGCGCATTTTGCGAGTTCTCAATTTGACGTGCTATAACTTTCTAAAGAATCCAAATTTTCCAGTGCGGCAAAGTCCTTCAGAGGTACCAAACCTTTCTCTATACAGCGCACATTGACATATACTGACATCGCAAAACGGTGGAAAAATATGGGTTGATAAGCAAAAAATTTTTTTTCGGAAACCTCATTTTTAACTGTTCATAACTTCCTTCAAAATTTTTCGGTATAAGTTAAAGGCTGACTGTCTTGTAGCCGCAAGCCAGTAGTACAAAAAAGTTGAAAGGGATTTAAACAAAGAAGATTTGCGAAAAGGAAAATTTACTATTCAAAATTATCCGCTTTTCGACATTTTTTCGCAGCCTTCAAAATTCCAAGATATGGAGATTTTTGATTTTCTGTGTACTGAACAGCTTCCACATTTCTACAAAAACTGTCAACAGGAGGCCCACCCTTACGCTTACAGAAATGAGCAAAACTTTGCCGATTGCCCTCTTCAAAGGAATTCCATGGGCCATAGAATGGTCAAAACCATCATTCATGTTGAGGCGCCGAAATCTCAGTCTAGATAATTTCTGTGAAAACAATAAAGCGTGCATAACGTGGAAAATTTCTACTACACACGGTAGTTAAATTTTTAAAAGAATGCGTTTACTCGCGCTCAAATTCTGGCCAAAAAGTATGTGCAATGAAATTCTGGTTTTAAGTGCGGTTGTATGAAGCTCTATAAACTTTTAACGAATGAGGCTAGAAGATTCTTTCAACCACCATTGAATAGAGCATGAAAGAAGCTTTTTGATAGTATGCTGGTTAAGTTTCGTAGGAGAAACTTCGATGGAGAAAAGCTATCTTGAAACAAGGGCTAGAAAAACGCGCATTGCTTTTGCACCAACCTGATATTTAGAACCCAATAGATTCAACCGTAAATGTTTTCACATGCGCAAAACATCTAGAATAGCGTCCGAAACTACTGCGGCTTAACATAGTTTATAGAAATAGTCTACATTTTGTGCCATCCACGTACCATAGTGCATTTCTCTTGATGAATTTGTTACGCTATAAAACAACATAAGAAGACGCTGTCATTGGGCTATTGCCGTATTGAGTCAAACCTCGCAGCAAGACAATGAACACAGTGACAACGTTTGTCATTTTTGAAGCTGATGCAGATCGGTTTAAAACATGAGCTTATAGGCCGAGAGTTAAAACCGTGGCCCGTTTTAGGAGGTATTGCTCTCGCACAAACAAGTCGTTGACCAGCACACATGACGTCACGATTTTGCAGGGAAATATCTGAATCTGGCATGTTGTTGTAACACTGATTGACATCGGCTTCCTTTGGAGTTAGTAAGGACAGAATGCTGGCAGATTGTTAGGGTGTGCAGTACATAATGGGCTTCGCAATTCGACGTCAAGCAGAAGTGATTAATAGAAACTGTGAAAACAAAAATCTTTTTAGAATAACTTAACATATTGACGACCGCTTGACACACATGGTGTGTCAAGCAATGACTACCGCGTGGGACCGCTTGACACACCATGTGTGTCAAGGCTTGGATTTTGTTAAAATAACTACTATATTTTGATAAACACACTCCACGAGCTTTCTTATACACTGAGTCTAGGGATGACCTCTACCGTTATTTTTAGCATTTCAGATCTACTGTAGGTTTACTGTAGATGGCAGTATGCGTCATCATAGTTGAAAAATGCGGGCTGGTCCGTAAATGGCCTTGGTCCCAGAAGGCAGACAACTAATAATCTGCATGGTCGTCAATGTGTTAAAATTTCCTAAGAACATGCAATTTTGAAAAGTACGCCATTACATGCCAATAATAACGTCTTCACTGTCTCTACCTTTCAGGGCCGGTAAATTGTTACCAGAGTAATCTAGAAGAATAAAAGTAACCTTTGCTTTAACCAGAGTGGCTGCTGAAGGGGAGGCTCCATGACCTAGGAGACGACTACTCGCGTCCGCGACGCAGTCTGCGCCTCCCTCGCTAACGTGCTCTCTGATCATTTTTTGGCCTTAATTAGGTCGCGAAGCCCCACCTTTCAGCCGCCGATCTGATTAAAGCGAAGATACTAACTTGGTGATCGGCGGACCCCCGTAAGTCGCTGTAATAGGTTTCGCAAGCATTAATTAGCCTTCGATTATAAATTAGAGCAAATGTAGCGTATGCCGGCTGTGGGTATTGAAGACGCCAGATCCTTTGATCTTCATCCTTTCATACACGCCTTTGTTACACCTGCAAGCATATTATTCCTACGCTATTTCACACGCACTGATAAATCCTCTATTTTCTTGTGGATAGAAGATATTACTACCTCATATATAAATGTCTGAATGTTTGTTTATTTGTGGGCTTGTACGTCTGTCACGAATGTTCCGAGAGAAATTTTCTATTTTTGAACCGGTTCGGACCAAACTTGGCACTACTTCGGGGCGGGGCGGGTGTCGTAGGCTGGCTTTAGTCATCAATCACTATCGATTTTGTCGATTTTTGCGATTTTCCACAAGACTGGGGAGCAAGTGAGCAGACTACAAAAATGTTAGACTGGAAATTAAGTTTTGCAAGTTCTTTCATAACTTTACTCTCTTGAGATGCGTCCCTCTCAAAACGTTGACAATCTGTAGAACGCAATGTGTGCTACAACATGCACGACTGTTTGAATTTTGGACACAAATTAAGAAAATATCAAACATTTTTGCAAAACTGGCAAATTTTAAGAATGTCTGGGGTCATAAACCAAAATGAAGCCGTTGGCGACCTAGATCATGCGCAATAATCTGTAGACATATTGCTAAAGATTGACTCATTCGGCTCAGTAAGAAAAATGAAATTTAATAGCGTGTCGCTGGCGCAAACATGAAGTCGAACCAGTACGCTGTACGCAAGGCTGCTGCGGACAATCGTCAATGACTAACAAGTCATAACCTTAGATTTCGCCGAGACTTCACGTAGTAGACATATTTGGCCCGTCAAACACGAATATCATATTCTTTTGTGAAACTAACGTTTCTTTGTTCAATGTTTTGGTATTGCTGTAGCCGAAGGAATCAAGATTGTTGAACTGTTTATTCGGCTAACGGCTTTCGGCCTAGTCGCCATCGTCAGAGCCTATAAAGCATAGAACATTTTGATTTAACCCATCAAACATCTCATCCATTGCATGAGAAGATCTGAGAAGTCGACTAGACTCCTGCCTAACCAAGAACATACCTCACCTTAGCCGATATTTTGAAGACCACCGCTGCTGGTATGCGCTTTGCGATAAATGAGGTCGGTCCCCGGAGGTTGAGATCAAAACTTACTTAAATTCAGGAACGGCGTGAGCTCAGTAGTCACGGCGATGCATTCATCTCTTCAATTTATTTTTGGATTTTTTGGATAAATTCCAGCACTCCTCAAGAGCCTATCGCGCCGACATCTTGTTCTCCCTCGATAGTACGCCAACTGAGATCGAATTCTGCGTTTTGGTGACAAAGCTTACGATGGGCGCCCAAAGGGGTCGACAATCGTGATTTTCTTGATCCGTCACATTGCTTCTTGATTCTGACGCATAGTGGCCTTACCGTCTCTCCTATGTATTCCTCCCCACAGCTCCTATGCATTCCTCCTCACAGCTCCTATGCATTCCTCTCCACGGCGCTTACAGGTGATGAGATAAATAGTTTCTGAGCACATGCAATCCCTAAGACTATTTGTTTCACAAATGATACAATTCTCGAGATAACATGCGGGAAGGGGAACGAAGGCCGCCAGTTTGAGCCGCCTTCGCGTACTACTGGTCAACGACATGCACAACATTGCAGAAGAACCAGTTGGCCGAGAACGGCTTAAACCGGCGGCTTTCGTTCCCCTACTTCCCCTACCCCATCGCATGCTCTATTGTGTGCTTTGTCCGCATTAAGCGCTGTCTCAAATTGGGGGTGGGGGGGGGGGGGGGGGAGGAATCTCTACGACTCTCAACAAGCTCTGCAAGCCTGATTTTTGCACTCATGCTCTGATATCATTGCTCACCTCGTCCGAGATGAAGGAAAGGCAGGATGGCACCCTTCTGTTGCTA